GATTCACAGGAGGGTACAGGCCTTCTGAAGAAGGGGATGCAGGGAAAGCCCCCGAAAGGCGTGGATATGGTGGTCCTCGAGGTTCATTCCGAGGGGGTCGGCGTGGTGGCTTCAGTAATGGAGAATCTGGAGAAGGGGAACGCCCTCGCAGGATATATGAGCGGCGCAGTGGAACAGGACGAGGGTTAGTTCGTTTAACTTGATATGCTTTCTTTCATGTGAAATGCCTTTGTCTTGTCTTGCATTACTAGGTTTTATTAGTTTGCTTCAATTATTCATCCATTGTGTTTCTAGGAATGATATTAAACGTGATGGGGCTGGTCGCGGGAATTGGGGAACTCCAAGTGATGAAATTGCTTTGTAAGCATATATGTTGCCACTCAAAAGCGGTTTTTAAAATTAAGATTAATCTACTGATATGTTCTCTCTTTAACATGTGAAAAGCCTAATATATGTGTTTTTTTTTGTCCAAAACAAGGGAGACTGAAGAACCTGCTGGTGAGAATGAAAAGAATGTGAATGCTGAGAAGCAGCCAGGAGCTGAAGAAGCTACAGATGCAAATAAGGAAAGCCCTGTCAGCGAGCCAGAAGAGAAAGAGCCTGAGGATAAGGTAAATTTTAGTATTCAAAAGTGAGGCCTTTTCTTCCTCAAACTTTAGCTTTGCAGGTTATGGCACAGTTGGGATAATCTACTAGTCTTGGAAACAATATCCATAATGAGCTAAAACTCCTGTTATTAGTTCTTGGTAGTGTGGCACCATCCATTCAGCTGATAGCATTCTCTTAATCAATAAGCATGTTTGTGTGAGCTGTGTTTTTGGTCGTGAGCTGTTCTTTGTTGAATACAACTAATATCAAGGCTGAATTATCTGCACATGCAGGCTGCTTGTTCTTCAGGCCTTTTTTTTTTATTTTTAGTAAAAGCGGCTGTTAATTCTGCCCATCAGTTGAAAAGAAAAATAAAAAATAGAAATGAAGCTGTGAATAATAATGTGGAAACCTAAATTGATATCATAAATTTATTTGGAAATCATATAATTTTGTGGTCTGAGCATCTTTGGAGTTTCTTCTAACTAATATGTCATGATAATTTGCAACTGGTCATGGTTTGTTTTGATTTCTGCTTTTAGATGTCATAACTGCTTTCTGTTGATCAATTTTGCAAGCCTGTTTTTTTCATATGCTTGCATTTGTGAAGGAGATGACTTTGGAAGAGTAT